AGGAAGGAAGGAAGGAAGGAAGGAAGGAAGGAAGGAAGGAAGGAAGGAAGGAAGGAAGGAAGGAGGGCCAACAATAACCCTGGTTGGGGACTAGGTGACTCAAGTGGCTGGAAAATGTTTGTAGGACTCTCTCTCCATCTTTTCACCCAACTTCCTTTTGTGTTGGCTTCAACTGAGTTTCCTCATGTGTTGGAAGACGGGATCTACCATCATGGCTTCTGGGGGTTATGGACCACCTGCCCAGCAGTCCAGGAGAGAGACATACCAGACTAGTGAATATCCAGCGGATGTCCTTGATTTTGACAGATGGTGTGGGAGTGGTCTTCCTCCTCCTGAGCTGGCCTGCAACAGGGCCTGCAGAAAAGTTGCTGACCATCCTGCGTCTCTGCTCTTTGGAGTCAGGAGCTGGCGTCTTCTCGGCTGGACTCTCTGGGTTGAGTGGGAGAGGACCAGTGCCTCACATGGAAATAGTCTGCTGTTGCAAGGTGATGGAGGAAGGGATTTATGTGACCAGCAGATAGGAAGGAGGGTGAAGCTTGATCAAAAGGTTGATGCAGAAATGCTAAGGCTAAGTTGTGCCTACAGCCATTGCTGTGTGGGGTAGGATGTGTCTTCTAGTGCCCCCGTGGACACAGAAGCATGAAGGGCTTGGAGGAAGACCCGTGCTCAAGGAGCATCTCCTGTGCTGAGCTTGTCCAGCCCGGGCAACTCTGGGGCCCTTTGGTTTTGTTGCCAGAGCACAGCAGGAATTTAGATATGAGGCCACAGAGGATCAGAGTGACTTGTACAAGGTCACACTGGTCGAGGACTTAGCCTGACGGGTACTGCAATCCCTATCTTTTCTCTCCTCTATACTTTCCCTTCAAAATAATGAACTCCCTGGGTCTCAGTTCAGACTACTTTTTAGAAGCCCTTTAACTATTTCTGATGAATAAAACAGCTGTTTGGAAATTGAGGGGTGTTATAGAGTCTGTAAACAAGTCAGGATGGCACCTGGCATTTTGCCAGGGGGAGTGGTTTGTGAGGTGGAGCCAGGGAGCCATTAAGTGTGGAGATTCCTTATTGGTTTACTGCTGTATCTAGTTTATGTTAATTAAGATAAGCTGTGTGGAATTTATATATATACCCCTCCTGTCCTACAATAAAAAGCTCCCACTCCTGCAGTATCAATCTACACAAGTTCCTCATCACCCCCTGATTATTTTGCTGCAGCTGGACTGTGGCAGATGGTGGCCCGTACAGGGAGCCCCAGGACACTTGGGGGTAAGTGATGAGAAAAAAAAGCTGCCTGTCCCTACATAGGATGGGAGCAAATCTGCTCGTCCCTAGGCAGATAGGGCGAGAGGAAAAATGGCCATTTTGAGAAAATAGAGAAGATTGATGCAGTATGTTTGTGTCTTGTTTTGTCTCAGTGTATTGTATTGTCTTTGTGATGAAAATATGGAAGGGGTGTTAAGTAAATTACTAAGGGAAGAAGGCACCCCAGTGGAACCAAAAATAGTTAGGGCATTTGTTGATGGAAGCCTAGGAACTCTAGTCAGAAAGAAGAAAGTTCAGAGGAGGAAGGATTATCAGGAAAAAAGTTGCAGCAAAAGGCTATTACTGAATACTTTTTGTTACCAGAGGGTGCGTGAATCGACAAGGCGGCTTCCACGTGCACAAACAGGTCACAGCGCATCAAGGACTTCTCAAGTGGTGGCAGCCGGCCCTTCCCCGCCCTACACCCGGGGATTAGGACGCCCCTGCCAGGAGCCTAACTAAATTGTTCAAAAGGTTGTTTTCTTAGTGCCTGATGCAATACTACAGGATTTTCTTTAGCATTTGCCGGAGTTCCTGCCTTCATCCCAGTGCCGGTGAGGACAAGGATGGAAGAATTTCCAGTGTTCCTGAGAACTGGACGAGACTTCAGATTAAGCTAGCTTCCTGCAGAACTTACCTGGACTGTGATTTACCTGGACTGTGAGTTAATCTATTGAGACACTGCTTTACCTTTACTGAGACAACAAACTGTAATCTACAACAAATTGCATCTCAGTATCTTTGCTAATGGTGTCATTGCTGGTGTAATTTTTCCAAGGGCTTCTTGCATGGAGCCATCAATTGGCTTGGTATTGTGACATTTTGTATCCTACCTTTCTGCTTGTAGCAGATTATTTATGGTATTTGTGTAAAAACCACTATTGTTGTTATTTAAATTAAACAAAAGGGGGAAATGTTAGAGTCTGTAAACAAGTCAGGATGGTGCCTGGCATTTTGCCAGGTGGAGTGGTTTGTGAGGTGGAGCCAGCGAGCCATTAAGTGTGGAGATTCCTTATTGGTTGACTGCTGTATCTAGTTTATGTTAATTAAGATAAGCTGTGTGGAATGTATATATACCACTTTTGTCCTACAATAAATGGCTCCCACTCCTGCTATATCAATCTACACAATTTCCTCCTCACCACCCCCGATTATTTTGCTGCAGCTGGACTTCGGCAGAGGGGTGTGTGTGGAAGTTGAAGGCACATCATTCTTTCTTTTGTTGGCCCTTGGGAATGGTGCGCTTGAGTGCTGGTATCGATGGCTGAGCGTCATTCAGCATCCCTGCAGCTGGCAGCATCCATCCCTACTTTCCATAGGATTTGGTGGTCGATGTTGCTCTGAGAAACATTTTCCAACAGTAATTCATAGCAAAGATGGGGATGGCTCTATAAGTCACAGTATTAAGTACAATTTACTTCATTTTTTACCATTTCTGGTAGCCACACATTCTTAAACATCCCAATTTGAGGGTTGGAGCTGAGGAGGCCCCATGGTGGAGTGAGACTCCTATGCAATGCATTGTATAAATGGATCCCAAGTGAAATTTTCTTTGCTTTTTTTCTCTCTTTTCTGGACACTAGGGTTCTTCATGAGCTGTATCTTAGGAGCATCTTTAATTGTTACTAACATTAGGGGAACAAGAGAGAGCAGAGAGAAGTTGTAGACAAGGGAGACTAATGTTCTAACAAAAATGAGGAAGGAGTGTGGGTCTTATTGGTTGTTTAGTTCCATCTCTAGATGAACTGATTGTTCATAAGATGAAGAAATAAAATGGTTTGGCTCTTGTGACAACTGTCAAGTATACGTTTTCCTCTGAGACTTGCTTTTTCCTTTTTGTTTAATAGGTCTATCTCCACGTGATTGTGGTCGTGTCTGTAACTGCTGGTTCTCATGGCGAATACGTAGAGGGAGGAAGACACGTTCCTGCCCAGCTTGGGTGCCAATGCAGGGCAAGTCCCCCTCCGTCCACCCCACTCACTGTCACCATCACTGTTTTCTCACAGGTCTGGTTGGAAGGAGAAAGCCACAGCTGGTGAGCC